AACTAACTAACAACGTAACCGTACGTACGTACGTACGTACGTACGTACTTACTTACTTAACTTACTAACTAACGTAGAGACGACGACGACGACGACGCGTCTCTCTCTCTCTCTCTCTCTCTCTCTCTCTCTCTCTCTCTCTCTCTCTCTCTCTACAATGTACAGTAACAGGCATCTACAATTGCTGGCAGATGAGCACACACACATGCTACAATGAAGCAAGGAAATAGTTTGCACATACAAGAAAGACTCATCATGGTTTCAAAATTCTAAAGAATAAATCACCATAACATCTACAAATTTAGAGTGGTTATTTCACTTTTTAAGAAAATGAGTTATTCCACAAAGTTCAATGGACAGTGAAAAACTGGTTTATTCCACAATACCAGTGGCATTTTTAAAGGTTCCCTATATCAAACTTTTAAAATGAATTTAGTTGTTTCAAAGAGAGAAGGTCTAATCTCTTTTCAATTACTCAGCCATGAAATATGGAATACCAAAGTTCACCAGAAATATAAACACCAAAGTCTATGGAGCAAAAAGAACGACTTAATAGAAGTTGCTACCTGCACATGCATTACAAAAAATGCCACAACCACCATGAAACCCAGATGCAGGATGAATGGAACGAGTAGAATGGATGAGTATCCGCCTTCAATTGAATAGTTCTGAGAATCTTGGTCTGATGATACAAGACCAGGAATGGATTCTATAGCCACATCTTTGTTTTTTTTCCTCCGTCGAAGTAATTGGTCCCCCCCTGCCAAGAGGAATCCAACAAGAATTATATAAGGAACCAAAATTATCAAAATTATACTACAAAGAAAATCACTGAACACAATGAATAGATGTAACAAGAACAATGAATCTGTCAACTGTATACATAAGACCATAAAAATTCTATCAACAAACTAAACATAACCACTATTCTGAACACACACAGAGTTGAAGAAGTCAACTCCAAGTTCCCATTCCCTCTGCCAAACCAAGCAACTCCCAACTAAAAGTGAGTTAACTTGCCGAGTTTCTTTTCTTGTTTTCCTGTTTTTTTTTGTGCTGGGTCGACTTGTTGAACTTTCAAACTTTTGGTTGTCACCTTTGCAATTAATAAAAGATACAGAAAAATAAGGAGATTTTTGGGAAATAAATGTGATGTCACCGCACTTCTAAAAATCCATGCGCAAATAAAAGCATATTATCCTTTTCTAAACTAATTTAGTTAATAGAATTGACAAGAACTAATAAAATAATAGCATATTATAACAAGAGCATATAGACTAGAAATTTACAATGACAAATGTTACACTTGTAATAATTTTAGTTTTCAACAGTATAGTGTAATAATTAGTATACAAATAACTGCTAAGAAATGTGTTTCCAACTTCCAGAAGAAATACAAATCAAATCCTATATCTACTAGTTCTTACAATTCGGAGTTGGTATAGAATACATAGGGGATAAAAAGGGCTCAAACAACCCCCTGCCGCCTCTTCAATATAGCCTTTGAATGAAACCCAGGTGCAACTTTTGAAGCCCAGGTCAATCACTTACAGGAAGATATAAAAAATTTTGAAATAATGTTTTTCACTCGTAGTTTAGTCCCCTTACTGAGCAGGACCTGACCCAAGGGAGAGGCATTGGCTAGAACCATAAGAATATCATTAATGAAAGGGAAGTACCTACCAAAGTTATAGAATACTCCAAAAGGCATTCACCTCTTTTTGTTCTTGAAGACAGAGAGTGGAAGCAATAGTAGGGCCAAGACATTCACCCAATTATAATTAACATAAACAGTCCATAAACAGGAAGGACAGTGGATGACACTTTAGTACTATATCATAAATTGCGTAGTATTCCATATCATTTTCTGTTGGGTTAGGGTATGATTTCCATGTTGAATCCTGCAGTGGTAGCTTAGATTGCAACATACCAGTCGATTTGTTATGGGGACCAGTAGTCTTCATAATCTGAACTTCTGTTGGCCTCTCTTTTGCGCTCCATGAGTAGAAAACATCAGCGGAATCTTTCTCTTGCTGAGAAGATAGAAACCCCAAAGAGAAGAAGACTTTAGGCCTTAGATGAGCATATCGAACAATGGAGCACACAGCCAGTGATAGTACTGGAGTCGCAAGGAGAAAGTTGGGCAGCTGCTTAATTTGGAAATATCTCAAAAAACCAACACCCCTGTGATATGATAGTCTCAGATATTCAAAGGAGAGATTGATTGATAGAGACCGTCCTTAAAAACACTTGGAAAAAGCTTACCAATAATGGCTTTGAAGGAAGCCATATAAATACGGTATTCTGGCATGGCACCAAGGCATTATGTCAACTGATAACGTTCTCTTGCATATATTGAAGTATCCATAGGCTTGAAAAGCAATGAATGGTGTAAAAATGCACAGTGACTGTAAGATTCCAGCAAAAACAGCCTTTGCTGCCAACTGCAGAACAAATAAAATTAGTCACCCTCCAGCTGGTGATGCCTCTCTGGTAGATGCCACAAACAGAGTCATAAAATAGATTATACACGCACAAAAACAGAAAAGAAAAGAGAAGAGGAGAAGTAACAGAAAAGTTGCTTCCAATTTGAGCTGCTGTAAAGATGCAAATAAAAAATAATATGCAGTTTTCCAAAATGAAACCCTAAATTAGTAAGCAAGAGCTCCAATACAATCTACTAGGATTTTTTTCTGTTCACTTTCTATCGGTGCATACCAATCTGCTAATTCAAAAGGTCAGATTTGTAAAATTCAGAATTTCAATTTCCATGATACCAAAATCAGTCAATAGAAATTCTTTTCTTTATCACTGATAGGAATTGATATCACTTGGCCATAAAAAACGCCAGCGTTGCATGGTAACAAAGGGAATCCTAGAGCGCCAAGGTCTTCCAATATGGAGCTCTTCATTCCAGAATTAAAGTACTGTCCCAACTTACCAGATCACACGCATGGACACGTGCGCACGCGTGCACGCAGAGAGAGACAGAGAGAGAGAGAGAGAGAGATGAAAGTCTTGTGCAAAGAATTTTAAACACAAAAAATAATTTATTCTGTAATCCCCATACAACCCCTTTTAACTGCACTTGAGTTCCAAAATTAAAAGTATAGTTGCCATTATTCGCTCATAGCTTGATATTCTTAAGACAATATAGAGCAACCATATGTTCCAAATTAATCCTATCAATGTTCTTTTTTTAACGAATCCTTGATCAGATTGAAGCAAACATAAATTAGGTAACAGATTTCTGACATACCAGTAAAGAAATATGAATAGGAATCTTACGCCAGCATGCTTTTTGTGGAAAATAGCATCATAAGCTCGATGCATTGCCTGAAAACAAAGATAGCCAGCATTAAGCAACCCATTTGATCTCGCAGAACCAGACAACGCTAGGAGAAAGACAGCTTTCCAACCAGCTCCTGAGATAAGGTGGTACAATCCTCCAAGAGAAAGAAGCGCATACAGACTCTCAGAATATCTGCCAAAACATGGGAAAGACAACATCCAATCTTAGTTATTTCACACAGTATAGAGTTTCCGTTTCTCGTCTCTTTGACAATGGAAATGGAAGAAATTAGGAGTTTACATTGATGAATAGAAAATCGAAGCCGCATTGAAACAGAATAAGGTGGATGCACGCATTGCAGCTTCAGAGTCCATTAAAATGAGAACCGACAATCTGAAAGTAAATGTAAGGAACACCTGTTTACTGTCTTTAATTTTGGCATAAATAGAAAGTTTATAAGCACGACTTGATCGGCAATGGTTCATACTTACTTAACATTACCAAAGAAAAAACTAGCATAAGGACTACAATAGCAAAATATCACACACAACAAAAATTAACAGGGAATAGAAACAGAAATTCAAAAGGCTAAAACGAATACGATCATTGAACCTGACATAACTATCCCATATCATTCCAGTATCACTATTAGAAATTGATACCATATAAAAAAGATGATCGGCCCTTGGCTGGCCTGCTGTTTCCTAAACAAGGTATCTCAATAAGCTACCTACATAGAATCATAAACATTCCTCAATCCAAAGTTATATCCATATCATTCTTATCTCTTGGTTGATAACGCCATCTTAATGTTGGGATTTGACTGCCCTAACCAATTAACAAAGAGCCCCTTCTACCCATATCCTAGTAGTTGTTTCATCAATTATTTCTATGTGATGTCCAAATGTTGTCTATAATACCCTATATTGCAGAATTTCTAAATTTTTAACATTTTCGGGAAATACCACTTCGGTTATCCAAATTGTTGCTAGGCTTTATTTTTCTTTTATTGTAATAAAAGGTATTTTCAGATAATTATGTTTTTTGGTGACTGAGATAAAGGAACAAAAAGCCAGAGGACCATAAAATTTCTTTAACATAAGATGCAATAGATAACTAAAATTTAAAAACAAAATGAAAAAGGAAAACAGTAATACTCTTGCAGCTTACGGTAATGAATAAATTACAATTACCTATCCAACATGTGACACATAATAACCAATGATGCCCACCAAGAGAAACAACAAACTGTCCATTTGTTTAACATTGCTGTGATAGAATCTAAGAAAGAATGTCATGAGATGAAATATAAAATATCCTTTTTCTCATTGCCAAATTAATAATATCCTGAGGTCAAGGCAATCTGACTATGATCTAAACAAAAGAAAAAGGGTGGGAGGAATGAAGCCGTACTTGTAAAAATACACTGCGGCAATCACAAAAGATGCATTATTCAGCAGATATGCTGATAAACCTAACACCGCCCGGTAACCCAACAGAGGAACAAGGGGGGCAAAAACTGCAAATCAATCAAAATATAAATACAAATCAGAACCACCTTCAAACCCAAAATGCAGCTACATTAGAATCAAGTTTCAGAAAATCTTCGCAAAAAAATGACCCAATTTTGGTTGCATTCAAAATTTCAAACTGGCCTTCCCTTCCTCTCAGACAAAAAAATGAAAAAAGAAAAAAGGAAAGTCCAAATCTAGGCTAAAGGTGGGCTTTTTGTCTTGGTCTCTATTGAAATTCCAACTAAGTTTCAGTACAAGTAATATTTTTCAAGTATTAATTTTTCTTTAGTAATACTAATTTTTCTTGGCAAAATTTCTCCAACTTTTGAAGATTAAACCAATTACAAAATCAAGGCCATCTAACAATGCAAAGAAAAGGAAAAGCAGGATTTAAGCCCAATTTTGTTACTGGTTCCACTTCGGCACATCAGACTCCAAACCAACATTACATTTAAAACTTTGAATTAATTTTGATTGACCTAAAAAACCCCAAGAAAATTCACCTCATATTTGCAGGAAACAAAAACAAACAATAACACAAAAATAAAGATCTGAATTTAGAACCACGTCCACAAATAAAAATACAAAAATGAAGATTTGAAATTTAGAACCATCTCGACAAACACAAATACAAAAATGAAGATTTGAAACTTAGAACCATGTCGTGGTTCACTTGCAAATAAATGCATAAAAAAAAAAATCCTACAATAAATTCAAAAGGGCAGCAAGAAAGAAGCAATTCCTACCAGTCTTATACAAAAATGAAGATTTGAAACTTAGAACCATGTTGTGGTTCACTTGCAAACAAATGCATAAAAAAAAAACCTACAATAAATTCAAAAGGGCAGCAAGAAAGAAGCAATTCCTACCAGTCTTTGTTAATAAAGAGATGCATAGAGGAAGAAGCGGCAAAAACGCGTAGGTCTGCTCATACTCATAGCCGCACTCTGCAATTCTCACAAGGTAAACCCCATCCCACACAATGCTTTCCTCTATTGATTTCGCTGCCCCATTAAAAATCATGCTTTCTTTTGAGGAAGAATTGCTTGGATTATCTGGCGATGGCGATAGGCAATTAGAGTTTATCGAAGCAGAGGTATCGTAAGGGCTGATCAGGGACCTCCAAATGAAAATTAGGGCAACAACCAAAACCCTAGAAATTAGGGCACAGAATAAAACTTGACGATTGTAATCCTTTTGCAAGGGTTTAGGTTTGAAGCTCGGAAGAGGAGCCATTACTTCCTGTGTTGCCCCTGCATCATTAACATCAGGAGTGAATTCTATTAAGTCATGTTTGAATAGGAGGGAAAGCAGGGGAAAATAATGGCTTTATCTTTGTCTAATATGCCAAAATAGTACAGAAAGGTAACAAAATTCCTGAAATGCCCTTTATTTGGTCTGCTGTAGGGATGGGAATTCTGTCGGGTCAAGCAGTGGACCCGCCCGGTCGACCCAACCCGGTCCAGTCTGGACACAAACAATGGACTCGACTAGTCAGATCTTGGTCAACTGACCTTGACCCAACTGGGTCCGGTCTAGCTTGGATCCTACTGGGTCGGGTTCCGTCCGATAGAGGTCATGGCGTGACCCGATCTAGCCCAATCAAATATATTAGTATAAATTATATATAAGTAATACTAATTACATAGTATAAAATAACATAAATTAATTTTTTATACATTTTTTATTTATAGACCCGAACCCAACTCGAATCTAGATCCAATTGACTTGGACTTAAATCGGGTTTAGGTCTAACCACTAGTCAGCTTACGAATAAAGAAAAAGGAAATTTATCAAATTACCCAAAAAAAGATAAATAATTCAACACTAGGAGGTTTTTATAACTTTAAAATACTCATAGAAAACAAATGGTTTTGAGTTTTAAATATAGTTACAAATGGGCAAAATGTTAGGAATGGACACAAGACATAGTCAGGGTGGTGGATGACGCAACATGATATCAGTTCATGTTTATTATTATTTTTATACAATATATAACATACTTTTTAATATAATGTATTATTATATAATATTTTATAGCTAAAAGCTGAAAAGGGATTCTTGACAATAAGGTTTTTTTCTTCTCTTCAACTATTTTTTTTTTTTATTGTTGAGAGTTTATATATATATATATATATATATATATATATATATATATATATAGTAAGTAAAATAAACTAAAAACAAGTAGTAGGAGTAGTTAGTACGTCGTCGTTCCGCCGCCGCCGAACGT